ATACACATATATATATATATATATATACACATATACACATATATATATATATATATATATATATATATATATATATACATACATTGTGAGCATTGCTGTTTTAAAGAGCAAGGATTAATCAACTCTCGTAGAGTTATCTGGGATATGCATGAATATGTGAACTTTAAAGATACCCCCACCTCCGCTCTTATAATCTCAAAATACAAACATTTTCATGTGGTTGTTACAGGGTTTATGAAACTACCTCTTTGAAGTAAAAAAAACAAGTAATCTTATAAATACTCCTGGGGGGCAATTTATTTCACACATCTAAACTGTTTACTAGTTTGGAGGAGTATTACAGCATATGTGAGAAAAGTTGCATAGAGCTTTCTGTGTTGCATAGAAAAATATAAATGGCTTCAAATGCTGTGACTTTGAGGCAGTATCAGTTGGGACTGAAGATTTGTTGGTTGCATAATTAGAAAAAGAACTGAGTGTTTGAGGCTTCAGTATCACTTTAACCGTCTTTGCTCAAGGCTAAAGTATAATGGTGCTTGAATGTTTGTGGCTCTTCATTTTTGTGTGAATTGATGTTATCAATATAACATATATATGGATATATATGGATATCTATGGATGGATGGATGGATGGATGGAGGATTTTTTTTGTTGTTGCATGGAATAAAACATCATACTGTCTCACGATAGTGAGAACCTAAACAAATTACACAAAATAATAAACTTTTATTAATAAAAGTAGAAATTTTGGTTTAATATTTTCTACGTTTGTAAGAACCATCTAGCATCAAACATGTGGCATGAGCTAAAAACGATCAGTTAGATTTTTTGCTTTGTTTTGTTGACTGAGTTTGTATTTAAACAGATGTTTTAGCTTTTTTAATTTTTTTAGTTCTATTTATTATTTATTTGGCTCTGAGCCCCTTCTTGTTTGCTCTGGTGAAGGACCGACTAACAGATGAGGTCAGGCAGGAATCTCCATGGACTATGATGTTTGCAGATGACATTGTGACCTGTGGTGAGAACAGCGAACAGGTGGAAGAGAACTTGGAGAGGTGGAGGTATGCACTTGGAAGAAGAGGAATGAAAGTCAGCCATAGTAAGACAGAGTACATGTGCATGAATGAGAGGGAGGCAGGTGGAACAGTGAGGCTACAAGGAGCAGAGGTCACAAAGGTGCAGGACTTCAAGTACTTGGGGTCCACTGTACAGGAAAATGGGGAATGTGGTAAAGAGGTGAAAAAGAGAGTCCAGGCAAGATGGAGTGGATGGAGAAAAGTTTCAGGAGTTATTTGCAACAAAAATGTGTCAGCAAAGGTCAAAGGAAAAGTTTACAAGTCAGTGGTGAGACCAGTTATGTTGTATGGTCTAGAGACAGTGGCATTGACAAAAAGACAGTAGAAAGAACTGGAAGTGGTAGAAATGAAGATGCTGAGGTTCTCATTAGGAGTGACAAGGATGGATACGATTAGGAATGAGATCACCAGAGGTACAGCACAGGTTGAACAACTGGGGGATAAAGTGAGAGCGGCCAGAAGAAGTAGAAGATTTAACTAACTCTAAAAACTCAGAAATCTTAGTTCCCTCTGTGGTGAAAAACATGTTATAGCCAAGCAGCAGCAAGCAGGCCCAAACCCTGATACTAACACCTCTCTGTTTAATATAATACAGCCCTCATGTAGGACAGCATTTGTATCTTCTTAACGTAACGTTACTTGTTTGCGCTTAGGTCTGATCATTTGCAAAACAATTTTTGAAAAGTCCTTTAACGTGCACATAGACTGTGTTTTAAAGGCTTTTGATTTCTTCCGTGTATGCTTTTGTTTCTCTGCGATTTTAGGGATTGTTCGTTGATCACTGTTGGATTGGGGGTGGGGTCAAGACGCTCTTGAATAATCTATTTTTATGTACAATCTGATTGATTGTTGGTTAAGAGAAACTAAATTTACCCCACTTGGTCAGCCTGATGAGGATGAAACCATCATTTGTGAATGTCTTAGTGATCTCCCTTGCTTAATGCTTATTATAATTTCATAATTCTTTTTTTTTTTTTACATAACCTGATGTGCAAGGAGCGATACAAATTAAGAGACCATATTAATCCCCATTATCTCAGACATTCTCATATTTTTGTCAGCCATAACAATATTGCAATATAATTTTAATGCTCATGTATAAAACCTCTGCTGGTCTCATTTGTTGTAGTAGATTCAGTTTACCCACTTTCCAGACTTGTATGTGAAAAAAAAAAATACAGTTCTGCAAAAATAACACTAAATTAGTTGTTGCTAGGACACACTTGAACCATTAAAGGTTAAAGTTTATTGTAGGTAATACTGGTTTTATGTTAAAATTTCTGAGCAATAAAAGCAGATAAAATCTCTTTGTTGTTGTGACAGTGTACGAATGCAATGCAAAACCACAGAGACTGCTTAAAGGGAAGTCTGGTAATTGATGTAATTATTCATCTGCATCCAGAGATAAGAAATAAGCATGAATATGATAAGAAAATGCACAATTTCAAAGGTTTTCAGTGCTTGGTAATCTTGAGTCATTGTCATTAGATTTCTTTCCTTTATAGCTGAGTAACTGAGAATTTCTTTTGCAAACAAAGCTTTGTTGAAATCTTCATAATTGAACTCAAATCCAAGCTTTACTCTGTGCTTGCACAGACAAAATATGCAGTCATTTTAATATCCACAGTATTTTGTTATCTCTACAGAGACATACCCGTTGTTCCTGACAGGAGACGAAGGTCTGAAACCCCGGTGCCACGCCGAATCCCAGCTGGTCAATGAAGGGCGGCTCGTCCTGGGTGTGGATCTGAACTTTGATCCCTGCTTCAAATGATGTCTCATCTGTTGACAGTGAAAGGTTAGGACAGTTATAACTGGGATGATGATTTGTATGCATACATTGGGCTAAAACCATCTCACCAAGAACTGTCGTTATATACGAACCAGATGGAGCTAATGCTTTGCAGAGTCGAGTTACGTTTACGAGCTTCGGAGTGAAAAACAAACGGGGAACCAAAAGGGACAGAGACAATCCTATTGCAGCTGGAGAAAACCAGTTTTGGGCTCTGATTGCTTATTCATCAAAACCCAAATGATGTTAGACATCATGACTTTTCATGAATGACAACCCACTGTGGTCTTTTGGGAGGTGATAATATTTTGGATAAAGAGTGAAAGGATAAATTAGGTGGACTTTTGAGACATTTTAGTGGATTATCCCACAGGAGTCTTTTTTACTGTGATGGGAAGTCATAGTGAAAGTTTAAATTAATAAATAAATGATGATGAGGATAAAAGAAAATCAATACAGCTGAGAGGTTTCTTCCCCGCAGATCTCTGATGTATAGATTTTCAAGAACCCCTCAATTACATGCAAACTCAAACGTCTGCCAACATATTTCTATCGCAAGTGCAGTGACCTAAAAATGCTTATTGCAGTGATGGCAGGTTGGATTCAGAGATTTAGCTTCTATGAGAGCTGGCTTGATGATAAAGTAGGATGTCTGTTTCCCTCCGCCCTTTTCTCTTCGGTTGTCACTTGCTATCATCATCTAAGTGCAAGGCTTTCTCACTCTTTTCAATTAGGGAGCTCGGAGATGTGGCTGGAGTTCAGTAAGAAAGCCTCAACAAAACGTGGCAGATTTGTACTCCAACATATTGCTCTGGTGAGACTGAATATCAAGCCATTTTGTGGAGCTGCCAAAACAAATGCCTGAGGCTTAGAGCTGCATATAGAATAGGAAGCGCACCAACCTCCCATTTATAAAAGTACAGGCCATCTTTAAGCCATGGCCATCCATCGTCCTTATAACAATATGTTATTTCACTTTCTCATGAAAGAATCCCTGGTTTGCACAGAAAATTTCTCATTCCATAAATCAATAAAGCTCGAGATAGTTACTAAAGTACAACCTTGAAGGATATGAGTGTAATAAAATGTGACAGCCAACGAAATAACTATTTTTGTGTTTATTTTATCCTCTTATGCAGCTACCTAACTTCATTCTCATAGGAACTTTTGAATGTTTTAACTCTTTTTATTCTGCAGCTAAAACAAACTAATTGAAGTTTAATTTTGAGTTATATAACTCATGTTATAATTACTTTAATAGCATACTTTGTAAAACTGCTTTAGATTCACTAAAGCATATCCAAATAACAGATGTCTAATTAATGCATGCATGCTAAACTGCAGACCACCTAGTTTAAAGCTGGAAAAGTTTACATTTACATTTAAATAAGTTTGGTTGAACTTTAATGTGCAAAACAAATACTGTATTTGAGGCTGTTTATCAGTAAACAAAACCTAAAATAAAGTGAAAAAAGGTTTGTAAGCTCAACCATCCATGTAGATGACAACAGAAAAGGTTAAATCATGTCCATTATTTATCTGGACCTGTTTCTTTAAGCAAGAAACGTTTTGTCTGCCATCCAGATGACTTCGTCAGTCTGCAGCCTGCCAACCACATCTGTCCCATAGTTGTCTTCATTGCTGTGTTTCAAGCCAACCTCCTGTTGAAATCTCAGAAGTAGGCTTTTAACATGTGCAAAATTGGCCCATCTGTTCAAAACATTTAATCATCATGTATAACAATCAAATTTATTAGGCCAGATGGCCAACTTGCTAAAATAAAGTGCTTTGTTTTTCTGTTTTGTTAGGAATATGAAGCTTGTTTCATTTTCTGTCTTGATTTAATCAGAACATTATTTATGAACGTATTCAGTTTGTTTAATTGGCTTCCAGCATTTAGAATTGCTCAGAATAAGTTAACTTTACCTTTAAAACAAACAAACAAAAAATCTGCTTGCACCATTAAGTTTGAGGCTGTAATGCAAGTACTGAATCCGTGCACAGTTCTGCGTTCGTGTCAGATTTGATCAGACTCAATCTGCTCGTTGTCATGTCTGAAAACACGAATGAACCAGTGCGTTAGAAGCCATGCATAATCATGCGGTTACACTTTATTAACCTGTAATAAAACACATACGAGCTGAACGCATCATTTATGCTTCATATCTAAAGTCGAACATTTAATATAATGTCTGTCTTAAAATACTCATTTTAGATCATCTGTCTAAAATTATGCTTTTCAAGAGCAGGTTAAATTTTTTTTAATTCTTATAACTTACAACTGGTTTGCCCCTTATGGTGAACTCTGCATATTTCTCTTATGAAATCTCTTTTTTAGTAGACTTGGGCAACAATATGAAAGTTTTCTGGAAATGTAGATGATTTTCATTACTATCAAAATAATTTTGGATCAACCTTCATCTTTTGTAATGTTTTTTTTGTTGTTGCTGAGCTCAATTTGTTTTAAGTTTTGCTGCTTTTATCTTGCTTTTTGGTCGATTTGTGTAGTTTTCGCAGCATAAGAATTGAGCATTAAGAATTTATTTATTTATTTTACATCATGTTCACTGAAGCAACCAAGTCCAGACAGTGTAACGGTTTCTCTTTGTTGTGGATCTGCCACTCTTGGTTTCTGTGTTGCTCATCTCATTTTGCTGATACCTGCAAGGTGATTTTGTTTAGGTTTTACCACCCACCCAAGTTTAGTTTCTTTTACTTTAAATCAGCTTTTCCGAGATTCCCATTCTGAATTGATAAAGAAATATTGAAAGATAGTTTGTGAATAAAGTAAAAAAAAAAAAAAAAAAAAAATTCTAAGACCTAAAATTTTCCCTTGTTTGAATGATGCTCAAACTAAGGTTGAGGGTCTACACTTTAAATCCTCATCCATTATTTATCTCAAATAGAAATATGAGTTTTGCTTTCTTGTGATGCTAAAGATTTGAACAGTTTCCTTTTAAGAGTAATTGGACGTGTTTAATAAGGTTCTGACTTTCTCAGAAAAAATACATCGAACTTTTATCCAATGCAACAAAAATAAGATGACTAAATTTAAAATATGGAAAGTAAACATGAAGGCTAAAATGAGAACAAGAGATTTTTAAACATCTATTTTCTCTACATTCCTTTAACTGTGAAAAAAGCAGGACAACTTTTGGAGTGGCAGTGAAGAAAATTTACTCGACATTACAGACAGCAAAACATTCAAAGCTGACAATTTCTCCATAAAATCCCAAAGGTGCTCTGTGAGATTTAGGTCACGGCTCTGGAGGGTTATTCTAAGACTTTTTTATTCCCTTGAGGAGGATATTTTTTAAACAAGCTGCTGATCCTGTTGAGAGATCCACTTCTGGAGCTTGAAACATTTCTTGGCAGCTTTTAAGTTTCTTCATCATAATACCATTGACACAAGTTCATATTTGTTGGAATGATACTCTGTCATCACATTTTATTACATCTTTAGCCTTTTTTGATTACGCAGTCTTTTTACTACTCGAGTGTGAACTTTCCTTTTAAACAATTTCAGATAAAAAATAAAATGCCAATAGGTAAAAAGTATCAGCTGGGTAAAAAACAACCCAATTTGTAACACAGCTCTAGGTCACATTTGTAAATGTCTTATATTTATACATAAAAACAACAAGGAAGAAATTAAGAAAAAATGGGGGAAAAAAAAAAACAACAATAATACAGCGACTTTTAAAAAAGCAGACATTCAAAATTATAATAAAAAAGACTAAAAATAAACTAAAACAAGAAAATATCACAACTTCAAACTTCTGTTGGAACTCAAACTGAACATGAATTGAAAGCTAGTGTAAAAAAGTTTCCTGGTGGGATTTGAACGACTGTACAGACTCTGCAGAATGAACATCAAGAAGCAGGGCCTTCCAGAGTCCAGGGGCTGCCACTGCAAAAGTTAAATCCCCTCTGTGCTTTAACTTAGCCCTCG